TGCTCAATGTGGACTTAAAAATCTATGCAAACATTTTGGCAAACTGACTTCTAACGGTAAAACACCCTCTAATATCCAAATACCAAGCAGGCTTCTTCCCGGGAAGGGAAACAAGGGACAACACAATTAAGGCAATCAACATCCATCATTGGCACACCACCACTAAACAAAAAGGCTTCTTTCTCTCTCTAGACGCAGAAAAGCGTTCGATAGGTTAGCTTGGGATTATCTGCATTTGGTTCTCCAGAAACTAGGCCTTGGAACCCAACTTATCAACTTCATCATGGCTCTATACGCTAAACCATCAGCTAGGGTTCGGGTGAACGGCGGACTGTCAAGTGCCTTCTCCATATTCAATGGGATACGTCAAGGTTGTCCACTTTCCCCACTGCTCTATATTCAACGCTCGAACCCTTTCTCAATCGCATCCATCAGAACGAAGATATCAAAGGTATCACGATTGTATCAAAACAATATAAAATAGCAGCTTTCACTGACGATATTTTGCTATTTCTATCTGATCCTCATACCTCTCTCCCAAACTTGCTTCAAGACCTCTCACTATTCCAATACATTTCAAATTTTAAAATCAATTACAGCAAATCTCATGCACTGATTATCACCCTACACCTGTCAGTGGCTAAGCTTTGTAAGGATAATTTCCCTTTCTCTTGGCAACCCGACGCTATTACATATTTGGGCATTCAGTTACCCAAATGTTTATCTGAATTATTTAACAAAAATTACGTTCCGCTGTTACGCACGGTTACGGAAGATCTCCAGTGTTGAGAGAAACCCATATTTTCTTGGTTTGGTAGAGCTGCAATCCTAAAAATGAACGTACTCCCACGCTTTCTATATATTCTTCAGACATTTTTGCAGGCTTATCAAAGGATATGCCCAAAATTCCTGTGGTGTGGGAAACAGCCGCTTATCAGCCATACCCATCTAACGCGGCCAAAACAGTTAGGGGGAATAGGCTTTCCTAGCCTTATGAAATACTACTGGGCATGCCACTTATCCAGACTAGTGGATTGGCATGTGCACTATAAACTAAAAGACTGGGTCAGCCTGGAAGCCTCTTTTGCAGACAAACCTTTGCAGACAATCCAGTGGCTGCCCCTCAGACACCTTTCCACTGTGCTTAAAGCCCACCCCCTAATCAAACCGACTATCCTCACCTTTCACGCAGCGTGCATGCGTACTGAAATATCCTCGATACTGGGAATTATGACCCCTCTCAGACTGAACCCTGACTTTTCACCGGGTATGACTTCCAGATTTTTGCCTGACCTCACGCCACATGAACCCCTAAGGCCCACCAATTCTTTGATGCGGGACGATTGAGAGATAGGAACCGTTTTACGGAACTACCATCAACAAATCAAATTCCTCCATGGTCTTATTTTCAGCTTCAACACTTTTTTGCGTCTCCGCCATACTCGACACAAGTGTCACGTGGTCTGACATCTTTTGAAAAACTGTACTTGAAATTCAAACCCCAACGTCATGTTATATCCACGGTACATGCTCTCCTGGATGCTTGCATACCCACGGATGTGGGTATAGCCTGTCATAAATAGTCTGCAGACCTGCAAATGGAATTGTCTCCTGAGAATTGGACCCAAATATTTCATACGGCACATAAAGGTATGGTGAATGTCTCGGCACAGGAAATTAACTATAAACTGTTATCTAAATGGTACAGAACCCTACACAAGCTACATAAAATCAACCCGAGACTACCAGACAAGTGCTGGAGATGCCTCCAGGCAGTGGGCACAATCCTACATGTGTGGTGGGAATGCCCCATGCTCCAATCTTTCTGGTTGAATGTACACACAATAATAGGCCAGATTACTTTTGGATTTGCTAGATTTCTCACCTGCCCAGTATCTATTGCACTATTCGCCTACACTTAGACCAACTTACCATAAGTCTCTAGCAATGAACCTAGTGAATGCAGCAATGGCTTGTATACCAGTGTATTGGGGATCATCACTGGTTCCATCGCTTAAAGAATGGTTTAGACGAATAAACAGGATGGAGGAGATGGAGGAATTTATACATACGGTCAAAGATTCACCATCTAAATTTCTTAAAACCTGGATGTGTTGGATTCATTTCAAATCCACTGAACTCTATTGTGATACCGTAAACTAATAACAACATCCTCAAGTAGATTTAGAACAACAACTCAAGTAAACACCCTTCAACCTACTGTTATTGCCTCTTAGACCACATTCCTTGCTTTATTCCACTGTTCTTCTTCTAAACAGGAGACCATCTTTGACCAACCCCGCTCTCACGATCTGCCTTTTTCTCTGATACCTGATCCCTATTGGGACTGAGGTGGTGAGGTTGGTAAATAGAGACTGGGATTGACCAATTCTCAGAGGGCCAATACAAGATCCCCTTCTATTATTCCAAACTGCTTCCTCCTTACTTCTTTTTCTGTTTCCATGCTCCCCTTTCCCCCCTAAATCCCAACCCCCTCCTCCTCAGCACTACGAAGGTGGATTGCCGTTGGATCGGACCAATAGAACCAATCAGGGGGCAGCATTGGCCAGAGTGCAATAGGTCTACTTTAAGCCCAGAATCATATGAGCTCCCCAAACTGCTTATGTATTCACATGCTTACTGCCCAGATCAGATGGTATATCCACCCCACTAGGTTATGAGAGCTTTGAAGGAAAGGAACAGGGGGAGATTTCCCTTTCGACTCCTTAGGGTTACCAGAAGCTGGATATGCAATCATATTACTCCATATGTCACTGTCAAATAGTGTGGAGGTACTATTCACCTAGACATTTGACAATATGTTGACAATTTGTTTTTGTGTTTTCTCTGCCCTCGCATTTATGTGTTGAATGTCTCATTACATTTCAATCGCTGTAATGACTGTACTGTTTCACTTATTTGTTACTGTGCAACATTTGTACCTGAAGCTTACATTTCAATAAAACAAACCTTTTTTGGAAAAACAAACAAACAAAAAAAAACAATTATAACAGGCTTGTGTTAATCTGAGTTGTTTGCAATCCTCTATAGCTATATTTTCACAGGTCTGTTAATAAGAGTAACAGTCTACTTCTGGCACCAACTGGACTGCACAGTGATATCTGGGCACCCTGTACCACTGCTACAGGAAAGTGGAGGTGAGATCATGAAAATAGAACTTGTTTGCACAATGTCTATCTGGCTCCATGACTATTTCTGTGACTTCAGTTGAGTTTTAATGTGTACTGGGAAGCCAAAACATTTTTTTTTTTAGTTTTGGATAGAGTAGGAAATAGTTAAAATCCCTGTTGTCTTGTTTGTTTTTTATTGTTTATTTATTTATTTATGTTTTTGCTATCAGTGTTTTGTGGCGATATCCTGCACTTACTGTATGCCTCAGGCTCAGAGGAAATCTCAGCACAAGACCTGGAAGCTAGCGGCAATCACAATAGAAATGGTGTCTAATACAGTAATTTCCAGCTTCCATGGGGATCAGGCCGGTATGGCATATACATAATTACAATACTCCAAGCTGGACCAGTGTAACTATGCAAAAATATTCATACCCAAACGTCAGCTTTAGAGGTTTGTTAGTTAAGAAAAATTTGGCAATCTGCACAATAGAGTAGGGGCGGGCCAGAGGGAATCATTAAAATGCAGTTGGCCAGCTTGAACATGTATTGCAATGTATGGGAACTAAGAATTCCTGTATTTTAAAGGGGTACTTACAGAAAAAAATGTAAAGGTGAATTAACATCAGACACCTTCCCCACCCCCAAAGTTGGTCCAGTGGTCCAAGGATTTGAAATCTCCACTGTTCTCCATCTTCTCTATCAGATGGATTCTGATTGTGACGGCGATGACCAAGCAAAATCCATTTGGTCTGTTCTGGAAGTGGTGACAAAGCAAAGGGAGAACAGCAGAAATTTCAAATCCCTGGGCTGCTGGACAGGCTGTAGGAGCCCTAACCAGGGGCCCCCGGAGGAAGGGATGCTGGTTGTCCTGCACTCCCTTTTCTCTGCCTTCAGCCGCCAGTTCCTGTGTGGTGACGTCGCACCAGTGACCAGGAGCACATGGAGCTGTGTGTGAGGAGGCTCTGAGAGGTAGCGGGGTTGGGTGGCAGCTGGAAAGGTGGAGTGAGGGGAACTGGGGGAGTGACTGCTAGACTGCGGGAAGGGAGCCGGGTGAGTGATATAAGCAGGACTGAAAGGAAACAGAAGGCTGTCAGTGGGAATGAAGACATCTCAAAATGGTTTCATTCCAGAGAGCAGTGATGGTGAGTCTCTCTCTATCTCAGGGCGGGGGCGAGCCCTGAAGGGATGATTGTTGTCCTGTGCTTCCTGTGATCATCCTTCAGCTGACGGTTCCTGTATGGTTACGTCATGCCAGTGACCAGGAGCAGATGGCGCTGTGTATGAGGAGACTTCAAGGGGTATCGGGGGGCAGGTGGAAGAGCCGTGTGAGGGGAGCTGGGGGAGCAACCGCGAAACTCTGGGAAGGGAACCAATTCTTTGTGTTGCCTAGGACAGCACAAAACCTAAATACCCCACTGGCCCTGACAGCATAGGACAGAGTGCAGTGGGGACTGGGGTGGGGGTTGGAGAGTGTATGCTCTGTTATGTCACTTTTCCATTTTTTTTCTGTAGCGGTTAACTAACACTTTAAGCAAAAGTTCTAAGAATTTGTAAGGGTTTATAGCAGTGTGCAGAGGGTTAGCTTAAGATGTTTAGGGTTAACATGTGCTTACACTCCATTAGAATTTCATATGTTGTATATATGGAAGACACATTAGGACATGAGCACAAACTTATTTAATAATAATAAAATCACCTGTGCGCAATCTGAAATAGGCTAATGCAGGGCTTGAAATTTCCACTCGCCTGCTCGCCAATGGCGAGTGTAAATTATGGTGGGGGCGAGTGTGTCCCCCAAGGCCATCTTGCTGAGCAGAATCGGAGCTCAGGCCCGATCTGTCATTGGTACTGGGAGCCGTCAGACTCCTCAATAGCTAAGCGCAGTGAAAGTAAAGCAAGGAGTGTGTGCTGTGCTCTCTGCCCCCCCCCCCCCCCTAGAGTGCAGTACCTGGATCTGTGAGTGAACAACAAAGTACTGCAACTTTTTTATGGGGGGGTGTGTGTATGTTTGTGTGTGTCTGTGTATGCATGTACAATTGTACATGTGTCTGTGTGTATGTACATGTGTGTATCTGTACATGTGTCTGCGTGTATGTACATGTATGTGTGTGTGTACATGTGTGTGTGCATGTACATGTGTGTGTGTTTGTGTGTATGTGCGTACATGTGTCTGTGTATGTATGTACATGTGTCTGTGTATGTATGTACATGTGTCTGTGCATATGTATTTTTGTGTATGTACATGTATCTGGGTATATGCGTGTGTGTATGTGCCTGTGTGTGTATACATGTGTCTGTATGTGTGTGTGTGTGTGTGTATGTACATATTTCTGTATGTGTGTGTATGTACATGTCTGTGTGTGTGTACAGGTGTCTCTGTTTGTGTCTGTTTGTTGGTGGTGAGTAACTCTATGAAAAATATCACAAAATAATCCTCATATGATCACACCACATATCTGAACAGCAATACTATAGAAAAAACATGACAGCGCTATATTGCAAAGAATGCTGAAAGTCCGCCTAACCTTATGTCCCTTTCTACTGCATAGTGCAGGTCACAAAGGGCAGGGATACACAAAGTTTCTGGGATTATTTTTTAATAGGAGAAATAAAGTATACTGTCTGGCTGAATGTGTTGTAACCCTTCTGTAATTTGCTTGTAAAAAATGCTCATACAGTTTATATATAAAGATTAAGAGGTTGGACAGCACCAGCAGGTAAAAATTGTTATCTCTGCAAGTAATCAGGAGCACCTAATTAATCAATATGTAATACAAAATACCAGCCAGCGCTGTGCAGTAAAAATAAAGATATGAGTGCTCAGGTCTTAGATAGCTTCATACATTCAGCACGAAAGATACTAAGAGGATGTTGCCACTTACCCTTACCTATAGCAAACTCTTAGCTATAAAATGGAGATTCCTACTTACCATATATTGCAATACATGTTCAAGCTCTTTGTTTTTTGTTTATCCACCTGGCTACTTGCATAGATAACTATTTTAACCTGCTGATGCCGTCCACCCTCTTAGGGCCGGTTCACACCATGCCTGCATCTAAATTGTACAAGAATGTGCTGTGAATTCCTCTGCGATTCACTCAGCATGTAAAACGCACTGCTTTCATGATTTGCAGTGGGTATCAATAAAAATGTAACCAAGCCCCAAAGTGTGTTTGCCCATACCTGCCCACACTGGATCTCATGGTACTTTTGTACTATGTAATCCAGTTACAGTGCGTTTAAAAAAGTAGTGCAGAATGAATGGGCTTGAAATCACACACAGAGCTGCATGTGAATTGCACAGAAACTCACATCATGGCATGGTGGTGTGAACTGGCTTTTACACAATGGGGAGATTTACTAAAACTCAGAATCTTAGAATCTGGTGCAGCTGTGTATGGTAGCCAATCAGCTTGTGCATGACTTTATTTTCATCTAGAGCTGTTTTCATAACCATCTTTGTCTGCTCTGTATTGGCAATGTACACTATATTGCCAAAAGTATTGGGACACCCCTCCAAATCATTGGAATCAGGTGTTCCAATCACCTCCATGGCGACAGGTATATAAAATAAAGTACCCAGGCATGCAGACTGCTTCTACAAACATTTGGGAAAGAATGGGTTGCTCTCAGGAGCTCAGTGAATTCAAGCGTGGTACCGTGATAGGTTGTCACCTGTGCAATAAGTCCATCTGTGAAATGTCTTTGCTACTAAGAGCAGTAGAGACGTGTTCACGCTTCTCTGTCTAGCAATCTGATGGACATGTCTGGGTTTGGCAGTTTCCAGAAGAACGGTACTTGCCTGACTGCATTGTGCCAAGTGAAAAAGTTTGGTGGAGGGGGAATTATGGTGTGGGGTTACTTTTCAGGGATTGGGCTTGGCCCTTTAGTTCCAGTGAAGGGAACTCTTAAGGTGTCAGCATACCAAAACATTTTGGACAATTTCATGCTCCCAACTTTGTGGGAACATTTTGGGGATGGCCCCTTCCTGTTCCAACATGACAGTGCACCAGTGCACAAAGCAAGGTCCATAAAGACATGGATAAGTTTGGGGTGCAGGAACTTGACTGGCCTGCACAGAGTCCTGACCTCAACCTGATAGAACACTTTTGGGATGAATTAGAGCAGAGTGGACTAAGACTAGGATGCCATTAAATTTCATGTGCGTGTAAAGGCAGGTGTCCCAATACTTTTGGCAATATAGTGTATGTCCACACTCTCAAGAGTAGCTACTTTAGCAAGAGTTGACAAATCTGAAAGATAGAGTAGGGACTGACAAGAGACGGATCTCTTTGACTATCTTGAACATGTATTTCAATATATGGTAAACTAACATTCCCTATTTTATAAGCAAGGGTATACTATAGGTAAGTAGCAACACCTCTTAGTATCTCATGTGTGGTATATATGAAGCTATCTAGGCCTTTATATCTCTATATGGCATGGTTGTAAAAAAAAAAAAAAAAACGGACCAAGGTTTCTATTATACTGGTTATAAGTATACTCAAACTGTGCAGTAACCTCTTTGTATTACACACATATACACTCACCAGCCACTTTCTTTGGTACACCTTGCTAGTACCAGGTTTTTTGGACCATTCTCTATAAACCCTAGAGATGGTTGTGCTTCAAAATCCCAGTAGATCAACAGTTTTTGAATTACTTAGACCAGCCCATCTGGCACCAACAACCATGCCATGTTCAAAGTCACTTAAAGTGTTACTAAACCCACAACAGTAAAATCAGTCTTTTGCACTTCAATCTGGTTTTGCACTTCTAATGTTCCTTTGAGGATCCTATACGCTTGTTTTACTTCTTTGCGTGTGAGTATATATCTAATTTTATTAAAATCACAATTTATTGAGGTAATGCGTAAGGTTTGTGTACTTTCTTTTTGTTTCACTTTGCAGTACTGGTTGGGCTCCCCCCACCTTGTTTAGAGCTGCACAACCTTTTATGCATTGGTGGACGAATTTCCACAAGTTCCTTTTCTATCTATCCACCCTTACTCTGGGTCCTAGAGTGCAGGAGGTGTTGTTTCTGTTTGTACTTTAAATGATGGCAGGTGTATACTGACTCCTATTTAACATGATTTTGAATGTGACTGCTAAATTCTGAACACAGCTACATCCCCAGTTATAAGAGGAAATGCACACTTAAGCAATCACATTATTTTAGTTTATTATCTTTACTCCACCCCCCCCCCCAAAAAAAAAAAAGATCTCAGTTTGTTTTGCAATTGCGTTGTACAGTTTACAGGTCACATTAAAGGTGGAAAAAGCTCTGAAATTATTTATCTTTGTCTCAAATTTTACAGCACGGAAGCCTGACATTTTAACAGGGGTGTGTAGACTTTTTATATCCATTCTGTATATATATATATATATATATATATATGGGTGTGTGTGTATATATATATATATATGTGGTGTGTGTGTATATATATATATATATATATATGTATATGGGTGTGTGTGTGTGTATATATATATATATATATATATATATGTGTGTGTGTGTGTATATATATATATATATATATATATGTGTGTGTGTGTATATATATATATATATATATATATATATATATATATATACACACACACAATGGATATAAAAAGTCTACACACCCCTGTTAAAATGTCAGGTTTCTGTGATGTCAAAAAAAAATAAGACAAAGATAAATAATTTCAGAACTTGTATGTGTATATAAATTCATGCTGCTTATTTCATGCTCTAAACTTCTGTTGGTGCATGATTGTTGTTTGAAGATATTATATATATATAATGTATGTGTGTATATATATATATATATATATATATATATATAATATAATATCTTCAAAAAACAATCATGCACCAACAGAAGTTTAGAGCATGAAATGAGCAGCATGAGTGAGGACTCTATGAGATCCTGATCTTCCTGCTGTGACGGAATCCATCCTTTGGGAATATGAGGAAGGCTTCCATGTATCATCAGGGGATGATCAGTATTTATGGTTGTTACACACACATGTCATTTCTCTCATAATGCATTTCTCTGAATCCACACCGTGATCTATCTGTCATCTGAAACAGCATTCCCACTGCTACACAATGATGAAGGGCTGAGAATGAAGGCGCTCACAAATCCTGATCTGAGCCATGCGGAGGATCGGAGAGTCTCCCCATAGATCTGTGTGTAGTGATGGAGGGGTGCCAGGTGCAGATGACAGCCCGCTCCCTGCAGTTATAATTGGAACCAAATTCTGAGTCCCCCCCTCCAATCCCAGCCAAGACGATGACTGCAAACAGTCTGGGGCTCCTCATCAGGTCTCCCCCGGCTCTGCACTGCCTGCGTTCACAGAGAAAAGGGTTATCTTTGCTCCCGGTTATGTCTGCACCCTACGCCGTAGCGGTGCTCTGCACTCCGTATACCAGCTTGCCCTGACCCAGCTTCTACCTCTGGCTGCCTCAGTCCTGGGCTAAGCAGCCCCGCCCCCTGTCATCATGCCCCGCCCCTCCCGATGACTTTAAATCCCCTGTCAGGCTGTGATAGTATAACTCTGGAAACATGAATCACACGGCAGGCACTCAGTGCAGGAGAAGGGACAGCACCGGACCGGCTCTGCAGCACCTCCTTCCCTCCGCCGCACCAGCACACACTTCCTAAGGCAGGAGCTGGACTCCACACTGCTGCAGCACCACTCACCCAGCTGGGCTCCTCTCTGGACCTGCACCCAGCAAGCTGCTGCAGCACCACCACTTCTCTCCCCCATCTTCACATTCCTTTGGATGCCGGTGCCCAGCCTGCTGCCCATGGGACTTGTCCTGGCCAGTGTGATGACTGCCCCCAGCTGATTGCACCTACAAAGTTTTTTTTTTTTTTTAATTTTTTTATTTTTTGGAGGGATCTCAGCAGCCTGTTGATAGACTCCAATCATGAATAATATCTCAGCGCAGAATGATTCAGCCCAGAATTCCACTGTAGAGAATGGGACCGGAATCAACCCCTTTATACAGCCGCCTTGGCAGATAGCCCTCTGGTCTGTAGCCTATTCCATCATTGTCATTGTGTCTGTGGTTGGGAATATCATTGTCATGTGGATCATCCTGGCCCACAAAAGAATGAGGACTGTCACCAACTATTTCCTGGTAAACCTGGCATTTGCTGAAGCCTCCATGTCAGCCTTCAACACAGTCATCAACTTCACCTATGCCATCCACAACCACTGGTACTATGGACTCATCTACTGCAAGTTCCATAACTTCTTCCCTATATCTGCTGTCTTCACCAGC